GCAGACCCTGCGTGTTGCGTCCCCAATAATCATTGCATATAATAGTACAGCAGATATCAACAACAATGGGCTGCCACAACGCTGACAATAAGCTACTTCTGCCTAATGGTACTGACAACCCTGAGAAAGGAATAGGATCAGACTTTCATAACTGTTAGGGAAGCTGAGAGTGGGGCTGCTTCGAAGGTGTCAGGGGAGGCCCCATGACAGCTCAGAGACTGTAGTTTGGGAGAGCAGACTGAATGTTTTATCAGGTCTGTAGGTGGGAGACAGGGCATTTATTGGTTTAAAGGGCTATTTGGTAAGATTCCTATGTGGATTGTGAGGGGCAAGTTGATTTGAGGATACAGAGAAATAGGTAAACGAGAAGCAGGGAAGTGTGAAGGTGGATTTGTTAGATGATCAGAAATACTATTACACAATTGAAATGGATAGTTTTATCAGGGTGTGCAAGTTGTGTGGGATTGGGACAGAGAAGAGTGTCTTAGGCTGCTGTTGACATTTCATCCTGCATTCTATATGATGCACTTCACGTTGTTTTGGAGATAAGGAATTGAGGCTGAGACCTTGCAATTCATCCTAAACCACTCCGGGAATCTTTAGCTGACATGATCTACAAACCCAGGGTCCTCTTGGGTTCCATTTCAGTGTTAGCCCCTAACTTGAGAAATGATTGTTTTATCAGAGCTGGAAGGAGGCAGGGTGCATTGGAGAAGCTTGTGATTTCCTGGGAGTCACTGGAAGTATGTAGAAGGGTCAAGCTGCTTAGGTCTTCAACCTCTGGTTGAGGTTCTCTTTTAGTATCTGTCTACGCCTTCTTTTCTCCCTTAGGCAGCGATGAGCACCCCTGGGGGGCTAGTTACCAACCGCGGACGGCGTTTCAAATGGGCCATTGAGTTGAGTGGTCCAGGCAGTGGGAGCAGGTATGTACTGAACTGGAGATCTCTATATCGTCTCCTGGTGTAAGCAGTTAGCTTGATTCCAGGGGTAGCTCTGTCTGTGGCAGGTATATGGATTTAGCTCAGATATGACCCATGCCTTTCTCTTGCCAGAGGCCGGAGTGATCGGAGCGGTGGCCAGGGAGACACCCTCTATCCCATCGGCTACTCAGACAAGCAGGTGCCAGACACAAGCGTCCAGGAAACGGATCGCATCCTAGTAGAAAAGGTAGTGCAGTGCAATAATTGGGGGGGGGTGGCCACTGGATCTCTTGGTTTTCTGTGCTGAGCAGAACACTGGAGCCAGATACCCTCTTCATGTGAGTTTTGAAAAAGGCAAGGTGAATGTGAATAAAGTTTGCTCTTTGATTCTACTTTCTTTTCTCTTCCACCTTTTCAGCGCTGCTGGGATATCGCTCTGGGCCCCCTGAAGCAAATCCCTATGAACTTATTTATCATGTACATGGCAGGCAACACAATCTCCATCTTCCCCACTATGATGGTCTGTATGATGGCCTGGAGGCCCATCCAAGCACTCATGTCCATCTCTGCCAGTAAGTGTGTTTTAATCCCAAGCTTTCTTCATTTCTTGCCTCATGGGATTTGTCTGTGATCCCAGTTGAAAAGACTGCATTCTGGGAATTTGAGGAAAATGCAAAATAGTCCTGTACACACCAACAGAAGGGATGGTAAAACTGCTCCCAGTTTGGATTGCATCAGTGTACATGAGGAATTGAAGGATTCCTCCAGTGAGGGAGGGTTCTTGCACATGCATAGCTAGACATAAGGGGCAAGGTATGGTGGTTTGGTGCAAGCAATGGTTATTCCCGTTTTTTCATACAATCCCCAAATGGTCACCCAGGAACAGTTGTGTGAATGAGGTATGTGTGCATGAATTTATCCGCTAGAGATGCACAGGGTTGCTGCAAGAATAAATGCGGTGGGAATTTATATACAGTATATGGCCCCGCGATCCTCTAGAGGATAACAAGTAATTAGGAGAAAGTAATACAAAAATGTATAAATGTACATTTGTAGTGGTGGTTTGGACTTACCAGGTAAAAGGTGCAGATCTCAGGGGTTCTTGCAAATCTATTATTGAAGTTAAGCAATCATCTAGCGCCAATAGAAGTGGAGAATGCTATGCACTGTGTAGTTTGTTTTAAAATGCTATACATAGGCCTGGAGAATTCATATACAGCGTTTCATCTGAAGTGTGGGTGTTCAGAAGTGGATTCTTCAGTATAAATACCTAATGCTTGATGAACCTTCTGCTCACTAACTTTCCTCAACAGTAGGAAATGCTTAACTGGGTTCATCCATTGTCATGCGACTGAACGGTTAAACCCTCTAGGGTAGAAATTCATGGCTAGGTATCTTTTCTGTCTCTGTGTGGATAGTTTTCTAACATGCTAACAGATGTTAACTCTGTTGTAGTTAGTACTGTACCTTGCTTGACTAAATATTCAGAAGTGAAAACAGGCTAGCAAGCTGGACCTGTGCTGCATGTTTGTGGTCTGCCTCTGACTTATTTTCTGCTGTCCCCACAGCCTTCAAATTACTTGAGAGTTCAAGCCAGAAGTTCCTGCAGGGCCTGGTATACCTAATTGGCAACCTTTTAGGGTTGGCATTGGCGGTTTACAAATGCCAATCAATGGGGCTGCTGCCAACTCATGCCTCTGATTGGCTAGCTTTTATTGAGCCACCCGAGGTGAGTATGGAGGGTCTGACATTTTGAAGAATATGTGTTTATGAATGGAGGTGATCTTCTCCCTCCCCACTCAGATGACATGTTCTAACTGTCCATGGTGTACTCTAAAAGGCTGGGGGGATGGGGATGTTTTGTACCAATGTCCATGGAACAGCACTTCAGTCGCTTCTGGATTCTTATTGCTACAAAATCTCAGTGCTTAAAACTAAAGCAGTGATGGTAGGATGTTTAACATAGTCTTTGTCCCAGTGCTTGGGGGCCTTATTTTAAGGACCGTGAAGCTATGATGATGCTTGCTCAGGTTTATTGACAACACTTCCTTCTTTTTATGGCCAGCGCATGGAATTCACGGGTGGGGGTCTAGTGTTATGACCCAACCCAGTTCCAGAAACCAACTGCTGCTTTAGATGTCTGGATCGCTACTGTAGAATACTCGTCTGCCATCACTCCTAATAAGACTGCTGGGTCCTAATTACGTGGTGGTGCTATGTGGAATAGCAGATGAAGATGCAGACAGAATGTGAAAGACTGATGTTCTCTGCCGAGGGAGGAGCAGAAGGCTTATCCTGACATGCTCTTTTCACCTTCCCCGTTGTGGTGAAAGCAGAATAAAATGTTATGCACATGTGTTTCAATGTTTACACCGCTTTCTTGAAAATGGGGACAGGACACTTTACATGCTGATAAATTCAGCATTCATTTTCATGTTACATAATGTGTACATGTATTGATCATACTTTGTGATGGCACACATTCAGGTTCTTACACTCTCCATTTAGAAAAAGAGCAGGTGCCAGGTGAACTCTAGTGCTGGAGAGCCAAGGACAGTAGCTAGTACAGAGCTGGTATAAGGAAGGCTGCTTCCTCTGTTCCACATACCGTATTTACATGAATGTAATGTGCACCTGCATGCTCTGGTCCATGGGGTCACGAAGAGTTGGACATGACTAAACAACAATGCACACCTTTTTTGCCAAATTATGTCATGAAAATGAGGGTGCACATTAGATTCGATGGCACATTACATTCAAGTAAATATGGTGCTCCTGGCTCTTAAGATTCCAAATAGTCTGGAAAAGGGCATGAGGCACTTGGGGTGAGAGGTGACGCTTAAGTGCCTTGAAAATATTCACAATTGGGCACTATTGTTTCATACACAGCACACAGGGGGCCCCTTCAAATATTAGTCAGATGAAAAGGTAAAATATGTAGAAAAACCATGCCTTTGAGCACTCCACCTTTGCCTGCCAATTGTGCATAGTTCCAGCTTCTGGAGAAAGCTATGCATGTAGAGGCCTGTGCAGAAAGGGTCCCCAACCTGACAGCAATATTGGGAGGGTCTCTGTGTTGCCAGAGGCATGGCCCTGCATCTCCTTTGTCTAGAATAGACAGTCTCCCCACCTCCTATGACATAAGAACTCTGGACACAACACCTGTCTTCAGGATTAAGCTTCGACTTACTGCTCAACATCCAATCTGTTACCCGCTCCAAGCACCAGTCTAATACCTCAGCTGCCGCCTCATTCTAATGTGAGAGAGAGCTGTATGCTATCTTGAGTCCCGTCAGAGAAAAAGATGGAGTATAAATAAATAAATATATAACTGTGAGAACCAGTGTGGTGTGGTGGTTAAGAGCGGTAGACTCGTAATCTGGTGAACCGGGTTCGCTTCCCCGCTCCTCCACATGCAGCTGCTGGGTGACCTTGGGCTAGTCACACTTCTCTGAAGTCTCTCGGCCTCACTCGCCTCACAGGGTGTTTGTTGTGGAGGAAGGGAAAGGAGATTGTTAGCCGCTTTGAGACTCCTTAGGGTAGTGATAAAGCGGGATGTCAAATCCAAATTTTTTGTTTGTTTGTTTGTTGTAAAAGAGAGCTAGGTTTCATCTGCATATTGATGATACTTCATTCCAGCTCTCCTGATAATGACCAACATCATATACATGTTAAACAGCGTGCAGGTGAAGATAGAACCCTGTGAGACACCACATGACACTTCCCATGGTGCTAAACAGTACCCTCCCATAACTACCGTATTTTTCCTTGTATAAAGACAACCCCTATTTTTTGGGACCCCAAATTAAGTAAATGGGAGATTGCCCAGAGTTGTTGGGTATTGTGGGGGGGGGATGCCTACAATTGCTCTGACTGCCGCTGCCATTTGTATGCATCGCCTTTATTCTGGCAAATGTCATCAACCAGGGCAGCCAAGGCAGTTTCAGTGCCATAGCCAGACTGGAATGGACCCAAGTATAGGTCTATATACCAGAAGCTAATCAGTTAACATTTTCACGAAAATAGCGAGTATAGACTGAATGAATGCGACATAATGAATCATCACAACTTCAAAAAAAGAATTATATATAAAAAGTTTATTCTTTACATAATTCAGGAAGCAAAAAATCACACCCCAAAACTTGATGCTGTATGTAAACAAGGTCATCCCCCCCCAATAAATTAAAAGACCTCCCCCAAAATAAGAGGTGAGGAACTTAACATGAACTTCCCTTTTAAAAGAAAAGTGGAGGAGAGGCTGGAGCTGAATCTGCTTTAAGGCTACCCCCAAGAGGAGTGGTCCCTGCATACTATACTTGAGCAAAGTGGTGGGAGGAGGAGGAGAATTAGACATCCGTCATTGAAATTGGGTTGGACAAAACAGCACAGCACCTTTTCCAGTGTTTGCTTCTGTAGGGGTAGGAAGGACTTATTTCCCAACACTCACAAAATACAGCAAGTTGTGGGTCCTCAGTATAGACACAGGTAGGGTCACAATAGCCTTCTCTGGCCCAAGCTTGAGGGAAGAGAAGGGTAGCCACTTGGGAGCAGGGAGGGCATGTTACAAAGGTCAGGAGATATTGCTGCTCTACTTCTCTTTCTATGGTTTAGAAAGGAGAGGCTGCCGTCTCCTTTTCCTCTCAACCTGTAACAGCAACCAGACGCTACAGTGAAGGACCTGGCAAATTGGTCTAGCTTCCTTGCCCAGATAGGAGTGTGAGGACCACAGAGAAAAGAAAGTAGAACAGTTATGTATGTCCCTCCATCAATATGCCACCTGCAGCCTGGCTTAAGAGTCAACTCTTCCCCCCACACCCAGCCAACAATTAGTTTGAGTTTTGGAATCCCTCAAGGGATTAGGGTATGAGATAAGTACTGTAAGAGTCAGTTCCATCTTCCTAAATGCTGTCCCTCCCCTTGATTTCAAGGGAAATAAAGCAGAAAGACTTTGGCACTGACCAGAAGAAAGTGGCACAATGGAGGCTGCATCTCCCTCCCTCTAGGTCCTCCAAGCAGCAATCATTTCTCCTCTTCTTGATTCAACAATGAAATGTAACAGTCTCTGCAGTAGGAGGACCCTGTTGCTCCATTTTTGTCATGCCCACCAGAGGGCAGAAGCAGTAGTTAACTCTTAAGATGGAAGCAACCTACGTTTTTGCTCTGTTTAATCCCTCCAAAGTAATACTTGCCTTACTAGTCCTACGCTTTCTAAAGGGAAGATCCAGCCATCTCCCAGCCCAATCCAGTCTAATCTCCTTTCGTGACAAGCTTATGCAGTTTCCGGCATGTACCTTTACGGAAGGCATGGGGAAATGTCAACTCTAGTCTCCAAATAGGGGAAATCACCCCATTTGAAGAACCCCAAACTGCCACAGGGAAAAGAAAGCATAGGAGGTGTGACACTGATAGCTGCTCTCCTTGGGAGATCAAGTTGCAGGTGGTGACAGGCAGGAAGCAGATGTCAATTTGACAGAACAGAGTCTATCAGGAGGAAGCCCTCCTAGTTCCCCTAGGAGTAGATAGTGATGACTTCGCTGCCACCACCCCGCACAAGCAGCACACGCTCCAGCCCCTCTGTAAGGACCTCCAGGAATTCCATATCTGCAGTTAGAAGGCAGTCAAGGAAATAGCTCTCTCTCTCTCTCTCTTATACACACATACCCTAGTCCTGCTGCCACCTCCAATCCTTCTTGCATCCCAGCATAAGACAGGACCCTGCAGAAAAGGATACAGTTCTCATCACCATCAGGATTACGTGGTGGGCCTGGCATGTTGAGCAGTACCAGCTTGGCATCGTGAGACTTGTTGACTATGACCTCATTGAGCTTCACAGCTGTGTGCATACGTCTCACGTTGGACTGGTCCCTGGGTCGTAGGAAGGAAGAGACAAATTGTCACTAAGACCAGGCATGCCTATGGATGTACACTTGCAGGAAGTTTTGGCTCAGAGATCTGGCTTCTGGAAAACTGGAGAAAGCACTAAGACACATATGGATTAGAGGAGGGAATGGATACAATATGGCAGCTGCAGCAATCTAAGATGCCAACAGGGTCTGGACCACACTGGAGATGGGAAACAAACTGAATGACCTTATGCTGCCAAAATAGAAGCAGTGGAAATAATGTAACATTTGATGGTATGGTTATTGAAGCAGCTGGAGCTGTGAAGAAGTAGAAAGAACATTTGTCTCTTGACTCCTAACCCTAAAGAAAAGTGTCAAAGGTGGTCTTGCCACAGAGAAGCAGAAGTGTGACCCCAAAGCATGCTAGGATTGAACAACAACAAAAAAAAGAATAAGTTTTGTTACTATCCAAGAGGATTCAGGAAGCCATAAAATGCAGGACAGAACTTCAGGAAAGAGTTAAGTGAACAGAAATGGGCTGAAGTGTCCTGGGGCTTGGCAGATTCTTACGGCCGCATGTTGAGCAGATCCTGGAAGTTCTCCAAGGTCTTGGGTTTGTGCCCTCGGGATGCCATGTACTTGTCCTTGGTCCACGTCATGTGCACCTTTTCCTGGTAAGTCTCAGTCTCTTCGTCATCATCTGAGCCAATGCTCGTCAGCCGCAGCATCGAGTTTCTGTCCTTCACCAGCTGCGCCTGTGTGGGGAGCACCTAGGAAGATGAGTGAAGAAGCAACTAGGAAGTGCTAGTCTTTCAGCCCTTCCCTTCCCACTTGTCCCAGCCCAGTTCACCTCTCGGTCCCGCTCCGTCTTTGAGAGACGCATTTGCCGCAACATCTGGCAGCGCTGCTCCATCATCAGCGTGCGCTCATAGGTGTAGGCAGAAATGTCGCTGTCATGCTGTTGGGAAACAAAGTGTAAACTCATACAGAGAGTGCGGCCAAGGCGATCTGTCCTCTGGCCAGCTCTGGTACATTCAGAGCACACAAAAATGCCCAGATTTCTTCCTAGTGCAACAAAATGGCAGAACTGGATGCATGCATTAGTCTGTGTGCCTTTCTCTAGCAATCTGCACAATTGTAGATATGCTCTGAGCAACAGAATTTTGTGGCTTACAAAGCAAGAACTAGTAGTTTCTTTGAAAGGCAGAGAACAGGTAAAACAAAGATCTGAGTAGCTATGCCCTGTGGCTAGGGAGGGGAGGGGAGGGGAGGGGAGAGATGACAGGAAGACAATTCACAATTTGCCTGAAGTTATAGGTGAACACTGAAAAAAACAGGGGGCATCAGGGTATGGTTTCTAGTAGGTAGGGAAGAGCTTCTTATATCCAACATATGTCCAAGCCCTTGCCTCATTTCTCTATTAACCAATCAATCTTCCAAGTCCTGCCCTTGACTGTGTGACGCCTAAGTTGCTGACCACAGGAAAAACAAAAACCAACTAATGCCCCTAACCCCTCCTGGCTTCCTCTGCCTGTTTTGTCTCTCACCATTTCCACCACTTCTACCTCTGCCTCAATGCGGAGGTGATAGAGAAAGGTAGCTAAATCCTTCTTCATCTGGATGCTGTTATCCTCCAGCTGGGCTACAGTGAAGATGCGGATTCTGCATTTACGCCACACCTTTAAAGTGGGAAAAGAGAGTTAGCAGCCCCATCTACCGATTTACCTTCCCCTCTGATTCCTCTCCCCCAGTGATACCCCCCCCCCCGCCAGCACCTTGTGTTGCTTGAGGAGGAAAGGGAGTAACATCAGCATCCCACCATCATGAACAATCCACCAGACGTCAATGCTCCCCTCGGGGAAAGGATCTGTATTGCTAGGGAAGAAGGACACATTCTTTGCCACAAGCAAGGCGAGGTGAGCAGCTGTAGTCACTCGGACAGTGCCTGCAGGGTAGAAAGAGAGAGTAATGCAATATGGATCCCTTGACCGAGGAAGCCCTCCCTCTCACCTCCCTATGGGAGAGGCCTTACCAATGAAGGTTTTCCAAGCACGGGCATCCTCACTCTGGCGCCAGGCGTTGGGCCAGCCCATGACAACTGTGTTGTGCTTCATGCCACCCAGCCCACAGGACTGAATGAGGTGGGAGATGCCCTCTCGCACTTTGGCAGCCACCACGATTTGGCAGAAGCCTTTCACCCGCTCTGCCTCCATCAGGTGCTTGATGGTCTGAAACAAGAAACATTAAGGCTGCTAGAGGGCACTAGCATGGAGAGCACTCTGTGCCCCAACCCGGTGAATGCTTTGCCACAGTGAAATCCTGTGTTGCTGAACTCCAACTCACTTAAGTTGGTTAAGTATTTACAAGTTTGTCCTTCAGGGTCGAAGGCATTATGGAGACGGGATATTACTGAGAAAATGGTCTCTAAAATCAATATACTGGAGGTTTCTGCAGCAGGAATTAATACGGCAATGGAGTTTAATCCTAGGTATTTCCTTGTAAAGCAGGGAGAGATCCATGTCTAAAACTCTGGAGAGTCACTGCTATAGTCAGTGTGAATGATACTGAGCTAGAGGCAACAATGGTCTGACTAGTATAAGTCAGCTTCCTGCTGAATACTGGAAAAGAATAATCCCATTTCATTATGCCTGAATGACCACAACTGTCCTCTTCATTTAGGATCAGGAAGTAGGGCTTCTAAGTCTGATGGCCTGACTGCCAGATCAACCCCAGTGCCTACACCTCCTATTTGACCTATGAAATCCAGTGAGTAGCAGTGGGCTTCACCTGCTCGGCAGCCAGTGCATCACTGTAACACTCCAGGAAGTTGCCCACCATGACGGAGCCCACAATGGTGAGGCCCTTTCCAGCTTTCAGCTGAGAGGCAAAGGTGAGCAGGCGCGGATGCTTCACGTGCTGATCCTCATCCAGCTTTAGCAGCACCAGCAGTTGTGGCCTAAGAAAGAAAAGAAAGTCCAAAATGCACATACAAGGAGCAAAGTAGCAGGTGGGTTCAGGCTGCCACCCAGAAGAGCGTATTTGTGTGCATGTTTGGAGCACTCCACAGCACATGCACACAAATACAGGTATGCATGCACAAGGTCTCTGCATGTGGCACACACAGCCCATGGCAAAACAAAGAAGCATCAAGTCTCTTCCTACCTCCAGTTCTTGGTGTGGGGTGGCCCCGCCTCAAGACGCAGCAGGGCGAAGCGGGCTGCGCTGAGGGACAGGCCACGGATGCCATCGCCCCACTCCTTCTCGGCCCTGGGGGATGCAGAAAATGTTCAGCCAAATGAGCTCAAGGAGAGCCAAGTCACTCAGTGCCCCTCCTTTCCAGAAGCATTGGCAGAGGGGGAAATGCAGCCAAGGCAATCATGCAGGAGGCAGGAGGACAAGGCTGCATTGCAAAAGAGGCCAGGTGTGGTGACTTCCACCCTCAACTTTCAAAGAAAGGGATCATGATTCCAAGCCTTCATGCCCTCTGACCTGCATTTCTCACAAAAAGAAAGCAAAAATCCTGCAACTGAAGGTAAGAAGCCCCAAAACTTCTGGCTACAACCGTCTATTTCCAGAGCCTGAGCCTTAAACCAAACCTTCACCCTCACGATCTCAGCAACAGTTCCATAAAGGAAATGATTCTGCTCTCACCCAACTGGAGACTGAGTGAGTATGGTTGCAAGGAATTCCCCCTGCTGTTCCCCGGCTGTGGAGTAAGAGGCTGGATAAAGAGGGCTAGAATCCTAGAGCTCTGGAAGGTTACAGACACTCACCCATGGTACTCAATGTATTTGTAGATCATTCCAGCTATCACCATGGCAACAATTGCATAATACCAGGAGGAGATGAACATGAGTGCCACACAGATGCTCATGCCCATGAAGGAGAGTGCCCTACAAGAAGAGAAAGGGGGAAGGGAGGAAAGCATGCAGACTATTATTTCGTTTGCTGTTTAAAATGTGAGCCCAGAGTCTAAGGGTGCTGTATTCCATTTAAGAGAACCTTTTGTACTTGTCAGCAGACATACCAAATACACAGGCCAGGAGTCCAGCCCCTATTCCCTCATTTTATGCTAACCCCATTCCTTTTGCACAGCAGGACGTAGAACTCAGGAGTCTGAATTTGCACACACCCCCACCCCACCCCCCGTTTGTAGTACCCGCCAATGTTCTTCCTCCTCCCACTCACTAGGTAGTGTGGCCCTCTTACCAGTGATAGTACCGGAAGCGAGGTCTCCAGTTGGGGCTACGTAGCAGAGTTTGTAATGCGCAGGCTAGGTTGACAAAGAGATAACACATCAGGAAGAACCTAGGGGAGAACACAAAATAGTCTCAGCTGTGTACAATTCCTAGAGACTCTAACCCATGATAAATATGGCACTTACATGGAAAGGATGGGTGCTACCATATCCAAAGAGGCAATGAGGATCCCCAGTTCTGCAATGCCTGCTGTCAGAAGCAAGGCCCACGTGGGTTCTCCATTGGCTTTGCCATGGCCAAATACCTAGAGTGAATAAGGAAACAAATTACTTGGGACAACCAAGTTTTTTTTCAGCAGCAAGTCAATTAGCGGTTGTCACTCTTACCCGCAGGAAGGGTATAATGTTGTCCTTGGCTATGGCTTGTAGCAGTCTGGGTGCGCCGGTGAGGCTCTGCAGCCCAGCTCCACACGTGGAGAAGAAAGAACCGATGACAATGACCCAAGGGGAGGGCCAGGACAGGGTCCCGACCACCAGATTCCCTTTCACTGTATCACCAAACCTATCCAATAGAAGCAAAAGTGAGGCCATTAGGTATCTGTCTAAGGGCTAATAGTGAGAAGTACAAAGATCCAGCAGAAACAAATGGTCCAGCACACAGAGAAATCAGACGATGCAGGATTGGATCCAAACTAGGTTAGTTGCATTTCTTCCATTGGTTTCAAAAGGAATAGATGCAACTAACTTAACAGTACAATCCTATAAGTTTTGTCAGTTCAATGTGACTTGCTCCCAGGAAAGCAGATATAGGATTGCAGCCTTAGTTTTCTCTCCAGCTTCCTTTCTGTGGGTTGGATCCAGGCTAACAGCATGTACCCAGCATGGCTGAGAAATGAGTGGGCCAGAAATATGTGCCAAAGGGTTGAGACTCTGCCCCTAAAAAGGGCCCCACATTTTTAGTCACAATGACACATCTAGTCCAGCATCCTGTTCTCACATTGGCCAACCAGATGCCTGTGGGAAACCCACAAGCAGGATTCAAGCACAAGAGCAATCTCCCATCCTGTGGCTTTCATCAACTGGTATTCAAAAGCACTAATGCCTACAGCTGTGGAGTCAAAGCACAGCCATAATAGCTAGTAGCCATTAACAGCTCTCTCCTCTATGAATTTGTCTAATTTGCTTTTAAAGCCATCCAGGTAAGTAGCCATAACTGCCTTTTAAGAACACAGCTTAAAATTTGAATCCAAAATAGAAATTTCACATCTGATTTATATCTGAGAATAGTGTGGCACTAGGGAAAGTTACTACTTACTTATCTCTGAGCACGACACCTTCCACACATGCCCCAAACAGCACTACGTTGCTAAGATCTGATGTGTCAAATGGTCAAGGAGCAGTAAGATGTTCTTGCAAGAAAGCAAAGGATGCAAAAGGGCAGCCATCCTTCCCACACAGGCACCAAATCCCTCCATCCCACCCTTATCCATCCCTTGTTTATTTGACCCTACATTTGCCAGGAAGGATACACACAAAGGAGGTGGTGAGAATAGCCAGGATGGTACCAATGGGGATGGATTTCTGGGCATCCTTCAGGTCTCCAGAACGATTTGATCCAGCCATGATTCCTGTGAAGACAAAAAAAAAAATAGATTTTCTGAGGGCAAGAAAGCAAAATTCTGTGACCAAAAGAGGTACTGCTAAGAAACTATACTGAACCTTTGAATAATTTTTGCATATGATCTATTACCCTGATGTAAAAGAAAATAGTTGATCTTATGCTGGGCAATATGAAGAAAGATGATATTGCATCAAACTGGGCCATTAGAGGGTAACAGCAGCAACAAAACTGCATCCAGTCCAGCTCACAGCTGAGGCAATATAAAGTCCTTACTCCTAGGCTGAAAGAGGGTGCTTTGCTGAGAACTGCAAGAGTCCATAGAAAGACCTGTGTTTTAAGTATAAGCATCCCAGATTAAAAGTTGGCTATCTACACTTCTGGAACGGTTTGCCTCTGGAGACACCTCTGAACAATACATAGCAACAACGTAGCTCTTACCAGTGACTGAAGGGAAAAAGATGCCCACAAGAAGCGTAAAGGAAGTGGTGATGTCAGACAGCACATACTGCTGATTCAGGCTTCCCCACACATCAGCTGAATGCAATGATGGTTTCTCAATTATTTCACCTTTCACCAAGTAGCTGCTCCAAAGATTCTCTGCAATTGTCAATACCATTATTATTATTACCACCAGAACCACCATGATTATTGCTGTCATCATCATCCCACCCTTCCTCCAGTGGTCTACAAACTTCTTCATGCTATCCTATGAGATAGGTTTCGCTGGCCACGTGACCCGGAAGTGTCTGCAGACAGCGCTGGCTCCCGGCCTATAGAGTGAGATGAGCGCACAACCCTAGAGTCTGGCAAGACTGGCCCGTACGGGCAGGGGTACCCTTTAAGCTAAGAGGTGGTGATTGTCCCAAGGACACCCAGTTGCTATTTATGGCCACTACACAACACAGGCCCCTCAATTAGGGAAGGAAGGGAAATGGCTGTTTATCTAGACAGTGTGTAGGACACCTCTTGGATTGTCCCAACATGGGGAAAACCAAGTTTACTGTTGACAGGGAAGGAAAGGTATCTCTCACCAGTGATAATGCCACTGGCCAGCCCTGGGATACCCTGGATAACGGTGACATTGTTGTGCTGAAAATAATCATCACAGGAGGCATTGTGGTGCTTGGTAGCATTGCAGAAAAACTCCCAGAGGACAGTGTGCTGGGTGATGTTGTCACGCTCCACCGTCTTGGCACAGTCATTAATGTGGTGCCGGGAGAGAGAGCGGTTCCCCAGCATGCATACGCTGAATGGAGAGGAGACACAAAAAGATGAACAAACCCGTTAGGCTATAAAGAGGCCAAGGCATGCACAAATAAATTTGAGAGTCCCAACCCTTAAGTTGCCCAAGGGCATGAGAAACTGAAGTTATCTAACTATGGAGAGATGGTTGCAGACTTGTAAAAAAAACTGTGACCACAGAACAGACAACTACGCACATTCACAAAACTACATATTCCAACTTCTTGTGGGATCTGCGACATCCCAGACTGATTTAAAGAGAAGTCCAAGTATCACAATTAATCATATCCAAGTATCACAATTAATCATATCCAAGTATCACAATTAATCATATCCAAGTATGCTGATAACCTACGGGAAGTCGGGAGGTGCAAAAGAGGACTTGATGGCACCAGCGTAGATGGCCAGGATTGAGACGATGACACAGGCAAGGAAGAGAGAGGCAAACTTATTCACGTAGCGTACACCCACGAACACCACCAGCACCATAATCACTAGAAAGGCTGAGCCATACACCCGCATGTTGTTGAGCATGGCTGCTGGCTCCTTCAAGGGATCCTCACTATGGAAGATGGCTGCCTCAGGGGCAATGTACATCTGAGAGAGGGAAGAAAGAGACACATGTCACTTTTAGAAAGGTCAGCAGATAGAGGGGAAAAACATGGATTTTGCAAGATTAGCAGAAGTGCTCACTCCGCTCAAGGCTGTCAGGCTGCTTGGAAGTGGCCACAGCCGTGTGGAATAGCACCTGTTTCACAACTATGGAGCACTGCATCTCGTTAATTTTAGGGGAGCAGAACGCTTACCAGGAAGATTTCAATGGCTCCCAAAATGTACATTGCAGCAGCAAAGGTGGTGCCCAGATAAAAGCAGAGTCCAACAGCTCCTCCAAACTCAGGCCCCAAAGCTCGTGAGATCATGAAGTAGGAACCCCCAGCTGTGAAGAGGAAATAAAGCAGTGGGTAGGAGGTCAAGAGACTTTGCAGATAGGGAAAAGGGCTATCATTTGCACTTCCTGCACATCCTAAACATCTGCTTGTAGAGGAACTTTTTATTTCTAGAATTTTGTCAGGACAGCACCCAAATGAAATTAAACAAACCAACAAGTTATGATCAACTGAGTTAGCCGATGAATAGCACAAAACAAAGCAGTCATTTATGTGGATCTCAAATACTATAAGAAGGCATTGTGTTTTTATGGCAAGATGAACATCATCTGACATAGATTGCATTGGTATCTGGTGAACAAGTTTAAGGAAAGAATTCCACCATTTGGGCACCACCTCAGAAAAGAACCTTTCCCAAGTAGTTATTTGGTTAAGTTCTGATGGTGAGAGCACTCAGGGCTGCTTTTGAAGATGAATGTATTTGGTGGGCAGGGAAGTGTGGGAGAAGATGGCTCTTTAGATATTAAGTACTCACCAGGCACAACTCCATTGGTGGCAATGGCACTCATGGAGATGGCTGTTAGCAGAGTCTGAGGAGGAGAAAAGACCACAGGAGGATTTAGAAGAAAAACACACAAAAATGAAATGAATGAAAAAGGGCTTTCATTCATTAGGTTGTGCAATTATACTCTTGTTAGATAGGACAATAGGCAATTTCCCATAAGATACAACTACAGCTAAAGAAAATCTGGCAAGTTGTGGAAATAAAATCTATCACTGGCCTCATGACACAGCTGAATGCATGTGGGAAGAAGGGTAATCTTATGACTTTTACATTAGGATCTCAGCTGTGGCCTGCTAAAGTCACAAAGTATGATTTAGCCCCCATCTCCATGCTGTGGTCCAGACTGCTCACTCCAATCTTCTTCTCTAAGACATTAAAACCCCTAAACCAGGACACAATTCAGACAGTAGGAGAGAGGAACTCACACAGCAACAGCAGATGAGGACAATGGCAAAGGCTTGCAACACGCCAGCTGTACCCACCACCCAGGTGAGCCGTAAGAAGAGAATCACCCCGAAGATGTTCTGCAGGCAAGGCAGATAGACTCCCATGAATGTGCCCATCTGTGGAGACTGGAAGGAAAAGGACAAACTCTCAAAACCAAACCTACTCCACTTTGCTGCCCCTACCTTGCTCTTCATCCTTTGCATACGTGATTTAAATACCTGCAACATCTCTGCTACTCAGACCTTCAGATATCTTTCTCTTTGACAATCCCACCCCTTTGTTTGAATTCCCAGACAAACCCAGCCACCAAGTGCAGAGCAGGTAACAGCACTAAACTGTACATATAGTAAGTCATATTAAAAATCAATTGCAAATAGGCAACACATAAAAACTAAAGCCCTGCTCACAGGACTAGGGAATAATCCTGGGTACCTGGTTACTCAGATACCTCAGAGCTTGATTCGGTGGCTTAGGAATCCGAACATTTTGCATAACTCTGAGCAGGGCTTTTAATTGATCTGATGTATTTATTTTTTAACTGGCTGCTACAAATTTCAAACAAATGTCAAGAAATCAAAAATATTTTTTGAGGTTTACCTCATGCTGCCTTAAGACCAGCGGCTAAAATCCATGTCAAACAAAAAGGTGTTTTAAACTTCAAGAAGCACAGTTTTTTTGTTCTGGAAAGTCTCCAGGAAAGGGAAGCCCCATAGTTGTAGGGCAGCCATGGCGAAAGCATCAACTCTGAATGTTTTGGACATTCACTACCTTCAAATGCTTACCACCTCTAACTGCCTACGTATCTCACTATCAACAAGCTCCTTACCTTGATAGCTTTTTTCTTGCCTGGAGGGACATTCTCAGCCTCCTCATGTTCACGGGCTCCCTGCATCAAGTTGGTGTAATTGGCCATGCGGTTGAGCAGGGAGGACACCTTGGGCCGGGTGTCCATCTCCTCCTGCAAAGTGGAAAGGATGGCAGTAGACATTAAAACTTAATATGAAAAATCTCCTAAGGCAAAAAACCACTAGTCATTAGCATAGTTATAGTAGTTTGGGAATGAAGACATAGGATAGCAGAATATGACAGAAATGGGTTGGGTACAAGCAGGCTGGTGTAACCTTAGCATTAAAAAAAAACCCCACAACTTATATGCCAAGAAATTCTGAATTCTGCAATCTGTATATTACATTTTGCTAAATTAGGCAAATTTGCAATCTTTGATCAATTTGCACCTCCTTCCTCTGCCACAGGGGTGGGACAACTTTTTCCCCACACCCCATGGGCCCACCTTGACAGGTAAGCAGGGCCACCCTTGTCGATCTTCTGACATTGTGATGCTGTGGGGTTGTTAGCTATTTTTCTGATTTATGCAGAGTGATACAGAGGTTTCACCCTCAAAGCCCTAGGGATGAAGTAGACCCCACACACAATACTCTGAAGATGACTCTTTACTGGCAGGATGGCCACTATTACAAGTTACTATACATATATACTGAGTTGGATGCATTGTATTTCACTCTCTTGAACCCATGAGAGACTCTTCTTGCTTCTAAAACTCCTTTGAAGCAGTGCAGAAATTATAGTTTGTCTGTCCTTACCAACTCCTCCGGCAGTATGTTGTTGGAGTCTCCTCCACGCTCAGCAAAGCAACCAACCTCCAACTCCCACCCCTCCTATCACTACCAAAGACACATACAGGCTCACTTTTAAAGGGAGTTAACCAATTAACAAAGCAATGGTTCAGCGTTTCTGTGACCTTAATTGGAGTCACAAGATTTTGCAGCTGTTACATTATGTTACATTATATTACAGTAGACCCTCGGGTTACGTTACTCTCAAGTAACGTAAACTTCGGGTTGCGAAAGTGGCAAACCCGGAAGTATTTTTCCGGGTTTCGCCACTCGCGCATGTGCAGAAGTGCCACCTCTGGATACAGATTATTCAGGGTGTGCATGGACCCCCGGAATGAATTAAATTCGTATCCAGAGGGTCCACTGTATATTGGTTTTCTTTCCCCAATACAATTTATTTTTTGTAAAACACATCTTCTAACAAATACAGTACAAATACTAACAAGGCCATCCTACCCACCTGTCAAAATCAGCTGGGGGCTAGTGGGGAGGGGGATTTGATTTGCCAATGCATTCAGTCCAGTAGGACTCAATACTCTGATTACCAGTTGATGAGCAAAGGGGCCTGCTTTGCCAGCTCATTCCCCACAGGGGTGGGGTGAGAAGTCTGCATTGCCAGTGCATTCATTGCAGTAAAGTGAAGCAGCCTCCATCAGGATTGAACCTCATCACCAAGTAATGTCAGCTGATTGGCAAGTAGGTGCAGCTTGGGGAAAAAGGTCTGATGGGCCAAATTGGACCCTCTGTGGGTCAAGATTGGCCCATGGGCCAGAGCACGGGTGCACAACCTGCGGACCTCCGGATGTTGTTGGACTACACCTCCCATCAGCCCTGATCACTGGCTAGCTGACTGGAGCTGATGGGAGTTGTAGTCCAGAAAAATCTGGTGGGCTGCAGGTTGTTCATCCCTGGGCCAGAGATTTCTCACCCCTGCCTATACATTTTCAAGTCCATCGCTGCAGCTATGAGAGTTTAAAAATAACCTTTAAAAAATAAAAGAGACATAAGATTTCCAAGATGCAATTTCCCATGTCACAGTTCCCAATCCTTTGCAACTTTTTCTGTGTTTTTGCGGAATTAAAAACAACAACCATGCATAGCCTTGGGAAACAGAGCAGACATAATAGCAGCTATCATGAAAGGCTATGCTATAAGGAAGGATTTAAACCAGTGTTCGAAACTCCCATAGTTCTAGGTGCATTTTGCAATAGGGAATTTCATTAGAGCAGGCAGTTTCTGAGCTCTAGGCACAGCACTGTGCCTAAGATTTCAGATTAAAATTGCTGAGTGGAAGGAAAAGAGGAGCTTTTTCTGCCTCCCCACTTCCAGCTACTCTCTGGAGACTGGAGAAGAGACCCTCTTAAGAATATTAGGGGAGTGGGCAGGGGAAGAACTAGACCATGTGAAAAATGAACATAATATTTTAGCTGCAGTTTATTCATTTTTAGCTTTGTATTACTGTTATTGAAAAATCGTGCCTAGACATTCCATTGTTGCACCCATAACCTAGGTTTAAGGTGCCATTTAGCTCCTAGTTTTCATATCTGTTTCTAACACCGATTAATACATATATGGACACATATAGTGGAAGGAAGGAAGGCAAAAGGCAGGAAGAACTAACCCACCAACAATGATCTCACCTCAAAAAGTGCCAAATTCTTGTCAAAGAATTCATCGCCATCTTCGTAGTTGATATTGTTGAGATAGGCATTATGAGGATCCTTCTTGTGACCAGGATCTGCAACAAGAGAGAGATCAAATGGAAGGAAAGGAGTAGTCCAGCAAAGAGTTAGTGCTGCACATACATTTAGATTATTGGAGCTCTATCTGGGCAGTGGGAAAAGTAAGAGAAACACCCTAGATCAAGGTGGTCCATCACGGCCTTTTTGGTGGCCTACACCCAGCCACAGCCCTTGCGCTGCCTTCAGAAAGCAGGTAAGAAAGGTGCTGGGATTTGGGAAGGGATGAGTGAAGGTTCAAGGACCCTGACAGGACTTTGTGTCCCCTTTCCAAAGCCCAGCGCTTCACTTAGCGGGCGTTGGAAGGTAGCACGCACAAGGCAGTATGCGGCTTACGGGTTCCCTGTCAAAGTACTCTTGCAGTCCACTTGGTATGAAAAGTTGCTCCCCCCTCCTTACCCTAGATCTTTTCAGATAATGAGCTACTTGCCTGCTCAGCTGCTGACACTAATTTTTACCACAGGGCATTTACTATTGTCCCCATATGAGTGGGGTCTGTAGTGAGCAGCAGGCAAGGGGTTTAGGGGAGAAATACGCTACACAGAAGGAATATGAGGCTAGAAAGATCATCTGAGTAATACTGCTGTCAAGCATTCACTTCTCCTTGCCTTATACCATTGCCAAGACAGAAGGGAAAGGCAAGGGAGTCCCATGCAGCTTTGGAGGTTCTTTTCCCCCCTGGTGTTTGGAAGGACAGACAGACAGGCAAGCAGCCAAGTTTAGCAAACTTACATGCATGGTTGTGCTACAGCCTCATATGGAGGAAAAGTTCCCTCAAATGCAATAGTTTGAATTCACCAGTAAGGAAAAGGCTAACAAGCACGACGGCAATGGCAATTTGCATATTTAAATTGCATGTACTTGAAAGCTGTTTGCCTGTAATTTTCAAGAACAGGGTGTGTTCCAAATTAAAGAGGGGCATGTTGTACTCCTCCTGTAAGAACAAAAAAAATTTTTTCTTTCCAGTAGCACCTTAAAGACCAACTAAGTTAATTCTTGGTATGAGCTTTCGTGTGCATGCACACTTCTTCAGATACACTAAAACAGAAGTTGCCAGATCCTTCTATATAGTGAGAAGGTGGGGAGGGGTATTACTCAGAAGGGTGGTGGGAATGGGTGATTGGCAGATAGCTGTGATGAGCCTGTTGACGACTCTTAACGACTGCAGTAGGTCTTACAGGAAAAAGCAAGGGGTGAGAAGGTGAAAAATGGCTTTATAATGAGATAAGAATCCAATGTCTTTGTTCAGACCAGGTCTCTCCATGGTTTTAAGTTTGGTAATGAGTTGCAATTTCTGAAATTCCTTTGTAGCAAAACAGCTACTTTGAGATCTTGACCAACACGGCTACCTATCTGTAACTGGAACTATGGAAGGCACCACATTGAGCCCAAGATCTCAAAGTAGCTGTTTTGCTACAAAGGAATTTCAGAAATAGACTGGAAAGAGAAGCTGCTGAATTGCAACTCATTACCAAACTTAAAACCATGGAGAGACCTGGTCTGAACAAAGACATTGGATTCTTATCTCATTATACATGACAAAGCCATTTTTCACCTTCTCACCCCTTGCTTTTTCCTGTAAGACCTACTGCAGTCGTTAAGAGTCGTCAACAGGCTCATCACAGCTATCTGCCAATCACCCATTCCCACCACCCTTCTGAGTAATACCCCTCCCCACCTTCTCACTATATAGAAGGATCTGGCAACTTCTGTTTCAGTGTATCTGAAGAAGTGTGCATGCACACGAAAGCTCATACCAAGAACTAACTTAGTTGGTCTTTAAGGTGCTACTGGAAAGAAAAAAAAATTGTTTTGACTATGGCAGACCAACACGGCTACCTATCTATAACTCCTCCTGTAAGGTTCTTATAAGTGCTTCAGGTGTGAAAAGCTGTACTCAGTCCTTGAATGAAGGTTAAAAATCACAGCAGTTTTAAATGCTAACAAAGTCTGTGTACACATCATGTATCTAAAGCACATTTAAAGCCACCCTCCACCCTGAATCCTGGGAACTATAGGTTACCACTCATAGAGCTACAAGTCTCAGCATCCTTAAAACCTATGGCTCCGATTAGTTTTGTGTGTGTGGAAGGTGCTTTACATGTATGTTGTACACGTAGCCTAAGCCTTTATTTGTTTACAGTCCTTTTTGCAATTTTACCATATTTTCCCAACTTTATGTGTAACCATGAAAGCTAAAAACTATACCAACTGTCTCAATGTTTGAGAATAAGGAATTCCAATCTCTCCTTGTACCCTGCTTTACTAGCTGCCTTCATTTCTCTCCTACCCCATCAGATCCATATATCCAGCAACAGAACCGCAGAGACCTGGTGCCCATTCTCTAAACCATCAGCATATGCTAGCCCCTGAACTCTAAATCTATCTGTGCAACGTGAGAAAACATCCCTCTCTCCCCTCCAGCTCCATCTCACAGAATGCAGATATGTAAGTAAACAGACTCTAGGGCTGGGTGCTCTTCAAAAAATTAGTAAATCATAAAGACAGGCTTGTCCGCAAGCAAGGAACCACAACATTTATTACTGGGGCCTACCCAACAACCCTGAGGCATGGAATCTTGGCATCTGGCTGGGCTGGATTAACACCGCACCCTGTTTCCCTCAACATTCAGAACGAAGCGGATAATAAAGCTCAGGAGATGTTTCATCCAGTTCTGGCTACAGGAGTGAAAAAGCACTGATACAAATCATGGCAACAGGCCAGCTGTATACGGGAAAAGGCAAATGAAATTAATGGAAATTATTTCTGGGGTTTTCTTTAAAAAAAGATGCAGAATCCATTATTCAAATCAAGTGTGAGGCTTCTCTGAATTTTTATTATTAGATAGCATCCTCAGTGTATAGGAACAAGGAGTTCCTGAGTATTTCAGCAGCTTACCCCTGCTTACTATGTCTCCAGGGTACCTTAAATGCACTAACTATGACATACCAGAGATAACAATCCTGCTACTACTTATGCAACCGGCTATTCCAAGTCAAGAATCCTTGATCTTTACAAAGATCATTGGCTGTCTTTAAACCATCAAGGATTACTTCCCTCAAATGTATAAAATACAGCAGTGAGTTCAAAGGTTGTTATTCTGGAACAATCAAATAAAGCAGATCCCTGTTAGGACAACACTTCTTAGTGTTCGATGTGATACAGGTCTGAATTCAATGTCACCTCGATCTTCAAACAAGAGCACTGTAAACAGAGAGACGGCTACCATCCCTTGGTGAAAAGAATTTAGGCTGAAATTAAATGCTATAAAAATCTAGTTTGAACAAGAGCATTCCAGTAAGGTTTTTGCCTAAAGCAGTTTTTCAACAGCCTACAAAAATTACCAGCAAGTCTGTACTTGCTAGCAATTTATGGCTTTTAAACAATAACTTCTATGAAGTGCCCTATTCATCTGGATAATACTTGCCACAGGCAACCAGTAGAGTGGCTATCTACAGGTCTGCCCTAGAGCACACACACAGGGACATTTGTGCCTTCAACATAAGATGGTTACACACATATACCATTTTCTTTACTAGTCATTCTTTCTCACACATGCATTCACACAGAGAACTTATTTTTCACCTGTCCCCTAGCAATGGGGCACATACACCTTTGTCTAACAATGGGCAACACTGATAGACACAGGAGACATATATACTGCACACACACAAAATTCCTGTAATACTGTACCTAAGAGCTGATACTGTTCCCCTGTGACGGAAGTTTGACTCACATCTGCAAAATCAAACAGAAAACGGGAAAGAAAATGAATCGCAAAATAAAGGGAGAATGAGGGAATAAAGTGATGGGCTAAAGTTTCTCTCTCCCACTTCCCCAAGATTCAAAAATGGCTTTCTTCCCCCGCAATCACAATCAGCAACAAAAATAGTAAGGAGTAAAAAAATAAGTGTCTTAAGCTGTGATTTCAAAACAAGAATAGCTGCAACGGGGTGTGGGGAGGAAATGTAGAATATTCATAAGCCTTTCAAGTAGCATAGAAAAGTATTTATCTCCTTTCCCTCCCACACACCATTGAAAACACTCTGTAACTCAAAGGGGAGAGGAGGGTTTTCCCCCACCGGGCTTTGTTCAGGCATTATGGTAATGGACAACTGGGGAAAGGGAGTAATTTTTTGTGTTGAGAAGGCAAGCCAGCAAAATCAACAGGACAGAATCATATCAATATCTCCCCCCACCCTCTACCACTATTAAGATATGTTGATTCAGCCTCTGTGAATGAGCTTTGTTTCATGTGCATAGTGGTTGTCACTTGTGACCACTAGCTAGCATCCTCTCCCCTCCCCAGGACAGAGTGGTTTTCTATAGCTTATGACTTGGCTGGCCTGCTGGAGTGATCAGATTGTAGGGGTGGGGAGTAGTGTGGCCGGAACTCTGGGGTCCTTCAATGTTGTGAAAATGGTGGTGGGAAAGATCAACAGCACTCTTATTACAGTTTAGACATGCAAGATGGGTGTTGACTTCTCCCCAATATCTTCTCCACCTCTGAATTTGATTACTGTTGACTGGGCTATGGGGGAATCTCTACCCACCCTCTTTTTTATTCAGATAAACATCATTCTATGTATGTTTGTCCTTACCTGACACAGTAATTAATGCAGGAGACTAATTCCCTACTTTTGGTTTTATTTTCCAAAGTCTTCCCTTAAATTAAATAAACAAATAAAATAAAATAATAAATAAAATAAATTCCCTTTAGGGAATGCTGTATCCCTTCTTTATTGATCTGCCTGACTCTGTGACAAATTGAGCCTCAAATTCTCTAGAGAGGTTTCTTGTAATAAAAATGCAAACACCCCAGACCCAGAAGGCAAAGATTTGGTAATATACAGGTGGAGCGGTGTCAAACCCATTTAACAATGAATTTTTGAGGGGAAAAATCACAACAACCTGATTTGCTTGAATCATTTCATTTTCCTACCTTAAAAACGGATTGTGATAACCAAGGGAAGGAGACTAGAGACAGCACAGTGCATTTTAGGGTAGGCATAGGGTTTCCATCTCCAAAAAGTATATGAAAAATCGGGAAGGGGTTAAAATTGACTTGAATCCTAAAGGAAGACCCAGCAATTCAATTTAGGGGATAGTTGCAGTGCTTTTGCACCAATCCATTCACGCATTCTGTGTACTTGCAAACAGCAGAACAAAACCATTCATAAAGTAATTTGAAGGGACTCCCAACCTGCTCTCCCAAGGAGGACACAGGCCCATTCACTTTTGTAATTTTTTATGTTTCAATAAGTTTTGTTAATACAAGTGTGCTGCTGCAGCTTATATTGTTTATTATTTTGATATATTATATTGCTTACTGTTTATGCATGTTTACACCTTATGCCTTGTGGGTGGGCCTGGTATTGGCAAAAAGGTGCAAAAATAATAACAAGGGAAGGTATGGTAGAAGCAACTGTTTATTTTTAAAAGAGGAGAAAGGGGTGGGGAGGCAGTTACATGTTTTCTTCAAAATGTAAAGACATGCACAAGGTCCACATGAATAGAGCTCCAAATGGTGCCTTTGTCTGGGGCAACAGCATGCAGTGAGGAACAGGGGGATGCAAGGCCATGGGTCTAGCTGGAGGCCAGCAAATTTAGTGAAGTGCATCACACCTATCAAGGCCTGCAAAGTGAACATGTGGGCGATGCCAGAGTAGACAGCAGATCATTCAGAACTGACAGATGGAAGCAAAGTCTGTTGATGAGGGATCAAACACAAATGATGTGTTTCTGTTCAACAACCTATCTTTGCTCTTGTCAGCCACCCCAGTCTTGGCAATTTCCCCAGTCCTGTTGGCACCATTCAACTTCCAGCAGCAGAAGCATCCTTTGTTTGTTGAGTCTGCACTCAGTGCCCTACACAGAAGGCATTGTTTCTGTTCATTGGATAAAGGGATTCAAACTCCCTGGGATAAATAGAGATTATATGGAAAATCCTGGGATTTGGACATTTCCGACCAGGAAGGATGTGTGTACATAGTCTAAGTCTGACTAGAAGTGAACTTCTGTTTTTTTCCATCTTGATAGCAGCACAATAATGAGCAAATCCTTTTGAGACTGTGGAATTTTGGAGGGTCAGAAAAAGGGTTTGAGCTTAAGATTGTCACGCTGAGGGCATGCGATTGCATTACTCAGCCTGGGAGGTCTAATGTTAAGATGCTTGTTTCTGCCCTTCATATTCCATTCCAAGGTTAACCTTAGCCCCTAAAATAGCTATCCACAGTCGTTTTTAACTTCCAGGTTTCAAAAAGCCCTGCCCTTCAATTCTGACTCATTTTACCAAGAGGTGAAAGACACCATTAGAATGCTTTAAGGTGTGCCACAAAGAGGGAGTTTCTCAAAGCAAGCTTTTGTGTGGAATGACAACCTTAATCTGTGGAAATGACAAAAATTATGGATCCAAGGGCTGATAGTTATTCAGAACCACTACATCCAGAATAAAAAAGTGATTTGAAGAGTACACATTTTCTCCCTCTCTGTGCGCATGGTGAAAGGTCTTTGTGATTCTTATTTTATTTAGAGGGACAGAACAATGTTATTTGCCTAAGGTCAAAGAGGTGCTCTCTCTGCCAGCTCAACATCAGTTTGACATAGAATACGTTTTCAAAATCCCAGTGAAAAGGCAAAGGACGTGGGCTCCCTCAAATATAGTAATTGTCAAGTTTGTGTGTGTTCAAGACAGAGATGAGCTCTTGCACAAATTCCGCCAAAACTCAATGGAAGCCCCAGTGAAGAGGGAACAGAAGAATATATATTTCTTTCTGGACTTTTCCAAGGATGTGATTTAAGCACGCTCTAAATTTGTTAACGCAAAATCCCTTCCTAGGGCAAAGAATGTGAAATACTACATTCAGTTCCCAGCAAAGTTTTTATTTCATATTCAGGTCAAACTCACAAATTTGACCAGCCAGATTTTGCAGAGGCATTCCTCACCCTGGAACTGAAGCTTTGAATGACTCCCTTAACTAACTAATAAGAGGATACACTGTTAAATATATTGTTTTGCCAGTATGGGCGTTCCACCGGTAGATTGGGGTATAAACAATCAGCAGTGAAAATCAACAAGAGAACGTTCTATATCAGGTATAGGCAAACTTAGCCCTCCAGATGTTTTGAGACTACAATTCCCATAATCCCTGACCACTGGTCCTGCTAGCTAGGGATGATGGGAGTTGTAGTCCCAAAACATCTGGAGGGCCGAGTTTGCCTATGCCTGTTCTGTATCACCTGTTTATTGACTAGTGAAGCAGCAAAAGTCACCACCACTTTTGAATAAAATATTAACAAGTCAGAGTCAAGCGGATAGGAAAGGAGGAGGAGAAAACTGAGCTCAGCCCACTCCAGAAATCATTCTTTTTCTTTTTCCATTTGGATTATTTTTTCTGTTTTTATTTTCAAAACTTGTTAAACTAGATTATCTGTTTTTTGTTTTCGTTATGTAACACTAATGTGGTAGAGGATTTTTCTCTGTCTCTCCTTATTTTTGTTCTGTTTTTTTGTCTTCACTTTTTTATTCTTTCTTTTTTCTCTCTCCTTTCAACAACAATAATAATGAAATTGCTTGGTTATGGATATTATGTATACAAAGCCAAATTATATAGAGAGATATGTGTAAGGTATTTGAGGTGTATGAATAGCAGGTCAAGTAGGAGGCCAATTAGGCAGTGAAAGCAGCACACCTAGGATGACTCTCTTGTGTCCGTTTAGCAGTTGCTACAACCTACTATGAGCTCTTGGAATAAGCTGGAATATAAAGAAAAGTCTCTTCCCCAATGTGAAGGACTGCCCACCTACACTTCCCTCCCTCCTGTGGAAATGCAGGATCAGGTCCTTGGTCAGCAGAGATTGCTGGTGGAGAGTGGTTGGGAACTAAGCTGGATAGGGAACAGATGGGAAAGGTGCAGCTGTTGTCAGGATGGTTCAGAGTTCCTACTAGCTGCAGAGGAAAAGTGGGGGCAGATAGGGCCTGAATGGAGTTTCAATTTGACCCGAAGCCCAGAAGGGAGAAGGGGCTGGGAAGGAATTCAAGGTGCTGGCAGGCTAGAGGGTGAAGCGTAAGGCATCAGACTATGCCCCACTGATTCTTCAACAAGGAATGACTGCTAAAGGGCATTCACTGGGGGAACAGTGTGTGATGTAACACCCTGTCCCCAATAAAAAAACAGTAAACTGAACAATCCCATGGTTGTAGCTATTTGTGCACCAAGAGTTTATTTAACCTGGGTTGCCAGATCACAGTCAGCTCTCTCAGACAGAACCCAAATCAAATCATCTGGGCCATTGTGCAGCACAAGAACCTTACTGTCAGTACCAAGAGCAAAAACACAAAAGTACATGCCATTTCAGGTCTCTCAAACACAGCAGCTGGTTTTGCAGACAGCAAAATGCACAGCCTTTAATTACCATAGTCATTGAAAAAATTTGAATGATATTTTCATGAATAGGGCTGGTATCCAACTATGTAGCTGGCAGATCAGTAGCATTGGTACCACCTCTTGTTCACATGTCACTTTCCAATTGCAACTGTGTATAATTCAAGTACAGTACATTTGATAACACAGAGGAAAGATGAACACACAAAGAGCATTAAAGTAGGTTGCTGCCTATTGTCAATCCTGTAACTAAGAAATTCCTAACTAACAAATCTACTTGCCACTTTATTCCTTCCTAAGTAAGAAAAATGCCCAGGAGTCTATGTTCTTAATTTTCCATCTTCTGCAGCCTGG